AAATGTTAAAGTACTGGCAAGTATACAACTGACAGGCACTCTTAGATGAACTTCAGCATTATTATTACATGTTTCCAAACAAAAAAGTGAAAATGTCACCTAAAGAAAGATACAGTCTTTATAGATGATTGTTCATGTCTACAATATGATCAATCTCTAACATTGCAACATCACAATATATTACATTTTTATTACTATTGAATATTTATTTTTTATTTTTATCCAGTGAAATGGCTGAAAAAGAAAATAATGAGCATATACTGACTGTTCTCAATTCATTAAATAAGAGATAAGAACTAACATCAATGGTGTACTTAATATATGCTAAAAGCACTGATTTAAGCATTGTTTAAGCTCTTTTGCCTACTCATAAAAAGATTACCTCCTAGTTACATATATTTCTTACTAGAACTTAGCTGTAGTAAATATATAACTATCAGAATATTTTGTGTGTAGAGAAGAGAGCTATTATTTACTGAGCTCCTAATACTATCACAGACAATGTCTTTGTTTAGGCCTCATAATAACCTCACAGTGTAGGCAACTTCAACCATGTGTTACCAATACAGACATTGATGCTTAGAGTGTTGTATGGATGATCAATAACAGTGCCAGAAAGCAAACCCAGACCTGTCTGACTCTCAAGTTTTGTTGAGGGCAAAAAGCAATAAGAGGTGGGTGAGTACTGGATGAAGCTAGTTCATCTGAGGCCCAGTAAAGGAATTTTGAGAAGGGCCAAAATAACAATAGTAGAGAGGCCAATCAAGAACACCAAAAGCAAAATGGTCACAGGTAGAATCAAATCAGATTCTAGAGTAAAAAGCAGGACTGGATGGTACCACAGATTGGGAACATATGGAGGTAAGCAGTCTTGGACTCCGGTGGGTATAGGCTATTTCGGTGAGTTAGATGTCGTTAACTGAGAGGGAGACTGAAACTAAAGTAACAATACATTTTTCTATTATATAGAAAACTCATTATATAATTTAATTAAGTAAATATATGTTCTATTCATAAGGTTTATTCCTCAAAACAAAACAAGGTTTGATTGTTCTTTCCCCTAAACAAAATATTAAGTTGTTATACAGTTTTTAAAAACTCCCAGAAACATTTCACACTCTCAGTACTTTCTTTTGACAACGCTATGCAGAATGAACTGCTCCCTCATCTATGCTCCTGAAGACTTTATACAAGCCTATTTTTATGACTACTTATATGATTGCTTCCCTTGCTAGAAGATGAATCCACAAGGATAGAGATTGTCTTATCACCTTCAAACCCATAAAAGAAATAAAATGTAGACAAAACCCCCAAAATGTCAATAATTATGTTAAAGTAAATGGTCTACCAATTAAAATCCTATGATGTCAAATAGATCAATAAAACAAAGCCAAAGTGTACCTTTCTATAAGAGACCCACTGTAGCTCTAGCTGGTTTGTTCAGTGGTTGAAGCATTATCCTTCAGACTGAAGGGTCATGGATCAGATTCATGGTTAAAGGCACATACTTCCTTTGCAAGCTCAATCCTGGCCTGGGTCAGAGTGTGTGAGGGAGGCAACCAATTGATGTTTCTCTCTCTCTCTCTTTCTCTCTCTCTCACTCTCTCCCTCTTTCCTTCCTCCATGTCTCTCTTTAAAAAAAAAAATCCACTGTAAATATAAAACATAGGTTAAAGAATGGGAAAAGATATATTATACAAACACTAGTCAAAAGGAAGCTGGAATGTGAAAAGATAATAACTGAAAATGGATAATTATTAAAATGTACAGTACAGTGATCAGTACCAAAACCATAATTTGGAGGTCTACACTTAAGATATTGAAATATACAATCACTCCCATCTTTAAACAGAGCTCTCTGAATCCTCTGAACAACCATTCCTACATCTCACACTTAACAGCTAAATCCTTGAGAGAGGTGGTTAAATTCAGTGGATTTTTTGGTTCCACTTATTTATCCACTTCTTATGCTAAGGTTACCAAAGGCCTCCACATATTAAATTGAAAGGCCATTTTCAATCCTCATTTCATTTCATCTTCAGGTGTTATTAGACAACTGACACATCACTCTTAAAATACTCCAAAGTGATGGCATCATACATTTTAGGGTTTCTTCTTAGCTCTTTTTTTTTTTTCCATTTTCTATTTTTTTATTCTTCTTGTGGTCAGTACATAACAGAGTAGTTTAGGTGTATGATAATCAAAGAATCATTCATGGTTGAATAAGTTTAATACTCTTGCTACATCAGTATATTAGAAAGTCCACTGTTATATTTAACTCAACTGTTTAAGGCATTTACTGGATTTCTGATATTACAGATTTGAAATATAACATCAGTGGAGCGAGGAATTGCTTTTTAAAATATCTTTACTGTTGAGAGTATTACATATGTCCCCTTTTCCTCCATTGACCACTCCCACCCTCCTCCACTCCCCAGGCCCTCACCACCCTATTGCCCGTGTCTATGGGTTATGCATATACACATATGAGTTCACTGGTTGATCTCTTCCCCCACCCCAGACCCTCCCCTGCCTTCCCTCTGAGGTCTGACAGTCTGTTTGATGTTTCTATGTCTCTGGGTCCATTTTTGTTCATGTTTATGTTGTTTATTAGATTCCACATATGATCGAGATCATGTGATACTTATCTTTCTCTGACTATCTTATTTCGCTTAGCATAATGCTCTCTAGGTCCATCCATGCTGTTGCAAATTTTAAGAGTTCTTTCTTTTTACAGCAGCATAGTATTCCACTGCACTAGTATGGTCTTCTTACCTCTTCACAGCCTCCTTTGCAGCCTCATCCTCTTCTACTCAAGCATTATATGTTGGAATTTTCATGTTTCATTCTTAGGCCCTTTTCTCTTCTTACTTTATAAACTGTCTTGTATATTGTCTCATTCTTGCTAACAGCTGCAAGTCTCATCCATATGACAATGACTTGAAATTTTTATATCTATGTGACATCTTGCTTAAATTCCATAGCAAGCAGCCTTCTTGACATCCCCAGTTTGATGTCTCAAAAGTTTTTCAAAATTAACGTCCTTAAAACTAAACCAGCAATACTCCCTCCTGTTGCACTGCTTTTCTCTTAGTAAATTAGATCATTGATCTATTTCCAAAAGCAAAAATCCTAAAATTGTCTGCTCATGTTCTTCCCAGCCAACTATTTCTTCATACCAAGGCAAAAGTGATCTTTTTTAAAAAGCAAATCTGAGCACATCATTCCTTCTTTAAAGTTTTACAATGACTTTTCATTTGCTCTTACAACAAAGACAACAAAGTCTGACCTTTCCCTTCTCTCTAGTCCCTCTTTATCACAGACACTCCTGCCTTTGTTCTCTTTATTCCAGCCACACTGGTCTTTCTCGGTTTCTTCTTCCCATCAGAGTCCTTGTAGATGCTTCCACTCCGCTACTCCTGATGTGGAATACTACTCTCTTCCACCCCCAGATCACTCCTCTCCAGTCTTCAGATATTAGCACAAACATCACGGACCCTGAGAAGGCTTTAATCCCAACAGTATAATATAATATTAACCAAGGGGTGAGAGAGTTAGCAGGGGGAAAATGTATGTTTCAAAGAAAGATTAGAGTAAATTCCAAATATTTATTTTTTAAAATGTTTAAGTTTCCTCTTCATTTTAATTTCTCTTGGTGGATGTTAAAATTACTACTATCTCATCAAGAAATTAACAAACTTACTTTAAAAACTGAACCCAATTGAACTCATATCCCAGGTCCCAAATAGCAGGTTTGTTTATTTAGTGGCTACATTACCAGTGTTTTTCAGTCAATAAATACTTGTTGATTACCTACTGTGGGCCAGACTGTTCTTGGCACTAGAGTGACTTCACAGCAGTGAGGAAAACACACGAAATTACTTATCTTTATGGAACTTATATTGTACTGAGGGTAAGGGACAAATAGGTAATAAAGCAAGTAAATAAAATACACTACATGCCAACTGATGATAAGTGCTGTAGTGAAAAATATAAATCAAGTAAGATGGAAGTAGACAGGTGAGCTAGGGCAAGAGTGAGATAGAGTTTGTGGGGAGGGAAGTCTGGTGGTTGCAATTATAAATACCCATGATCTCTAAGGCTTATTTGGGATGCTGACATTTGAGCTAAGACCCTGAAGGAGCAGAAGAACCAAAGCATAGTTGTGCATCCATTTGCTTTAATGTTAAACTCTTTTTCTGTTGAAATAAAATGGGTCAACAGCTGAATGGAAGAATGACACTATCTTTATTTACAAGTTACCCTGATTTATTCTAATCAAACCAAAAAGGGGAAAAAGACATTCCAATTATTGGGTACACTCCATCACTGTTGACATATCTGCCTTTTGAGAAAAAAAAAAGTTTAAATATTTATTTCATTCCCTTATATCACAAGCATTCATTTTTTTTATATTCTCCATATATTCTCTGAAGTATGTGTTATATTTCAAATGTAGAAAATTTTGTTTAGTTTTAAATGAGCCCAAATTTCATCATGGGCTAAAATTTTAAGACATAAAATGACTGCTGAAATTGAATTTTAATCATATAGATGAATCACAACATGAATTTTAGCTAGGCATGTATTATGGATAAGTCTAGTTTTCTACAGAGAATAATCACATGTTCTAATTACCATTTTGGTTATACGCATAATTAATAATATTCTGTCTTAATGGGACACACTGAATCTTCAGACAGTTGTAAGCTTTCACTATGCACATTGCCAAATCCAACTGTCAGCTGCACTGCCAAACACAAAGGAATCTTGATGTAGTGCTTTAGCATTGATAACAATACATACATCTTTATACACGATACAATGGAAAATAAATTGTTTTCTTCCTTCATAATTTTCTACACACTAATAATTTTATAGTACTTGATTGATCATTTATCCTAAATTGTATGTATTGGCAAGTTATCCGAAGAGCAATGAATACATGAATGCAGATGTGACCCCAGATCCAAAGAAGAAAACAATTTTGTAGGACTTACTGATTGTAAACTTTCATTTTCACGTAAACAAGCTGTGTGAAGTTCTGATTTCAAGGTTGCAATGTGACTTCGATGAGATGTCATTTCTTTCTCTAAGGTTGCAATTCTGGTGCTTGCAAGCTGATAGACATCCATGAAGCTTTTAATCATAGCCTAAAGAAATAAAAATAGTGTCACATACAATTCCAATAGAGCTGTCCCCAAAGAAGAATTTCCATAATTTGAAAGCAAAATCATTAAAATTTTTAAATAAACTACTTTTCATCTTTATTTAAAACAATAAAGCTGCACTTCACATTTTATATTGAGAATAGTGACTATTTTAAGACAGTTTTGAGGAAAAATAATTGAGACTTCTTTTTCTGACTATTTATTTAAATAAGATGTACTTTGATCTATTGTGCTTAAAACTTAGAATGCAGTTATTAAAGATGACACATTTATTTTCTTTGTAAAGCTAAATTCAAGTTGTAATTTGACCCACATTTCAATCTTAAAGCACACAACAGATATATAAGCAAAATATTTCAAAATGAGCTAAATTAATAAAATTTTCAATCTACCTTATAAAACAAGTGTTCTTAAATAAAAGGAACTGAGATGATCATGTGATTAAATGTAAATGTCATTCCTATATTGTTAAAAGAAAAAGCATAATTACATTCATTTATATAATAGAGAAGTGCCCTTACATTATATTATATATGTATAATAAAATTAATACATGCAAGTGTTGATAATTTTTTCTCTCCCCTAAATTGTATATTTGGGGAATTGTTAGACCTCTGTATTACAAATTAACCATATTTTATAGACTTTTTCTTTTAAAGCAACCTGAAGTGAATTTTAAGTCCTAGAATATTATTACACCTTTTTTTAAAGTCTTTCAAAATACTTCAAACATCCCAATATATAAAAACCCTGGGTAATAACGTCTAGTAATGACCAAGGTCGACAAATTGGAAGTCAGTCCTGCTGACTGCTTCCGCTGCAGGCGCATGTCCCAGCACTGATTGCTGATGTGGCCACGCAAATCAGGGCTAGAGAGAGGCCTGAAGAGAGAAGCAGGGACTGATCTGTTGCCTCTCTTTTTCTCTCCCAGTATAGCCAGCAGCCATGCTTCCATTTCTCTCCAGGCCTCTACTAGGGCTGCTGATCAGCCCAACCTTTCTGATCAGGCTCCGTAGATAAGCCCAGAGATGCTGACTGGCATAGGAACTGACCAATCAGAAACAAATCTGGGTCAACTGTGAGGAGCCAATGGCTGCCTAGGAGGTGGAGCTTTTGACACTGACTGGCATAGAAACCAACCAATCAGAACCAAAATGGCTGGCAGAGGAGGGCAGTTGGGGGTGAGATCAGCCTGGCAGGGGAGGGCAGTTGCGGGCAACCAGGCCAGCAAGGGGAGGGCAGTTAGGGATGAGATTAGGCCAGCAGGGGAGGGCCATTGGGAGCAAGATCAGGCCAGCAGGGAGGGCAGTTGGGGGGAGATCAGGCAGGTAGGGGTAGTTGGGGGTGAGATCAGGCCAGCAGGGGAGGGAAGTTAGGGGCAATCAGGCACGCAGGCAGAGGCAATTAGGGGTAATCAGGCAGAAGGGTTAGGGGCAATCAGGCAGGCAGGCAGGTGAGTAGTTAGAAGCCAGTAGTTCCAGATTGCAAGAGGGATGTCCAATTAGAGAGGATGCAGGCTGGACTGAGGGAACACACCCCCCCCCCTTTCTGTGCATGAATTTCATGCACTGGGCCACTAGTAGCAAAATAAAATCAAACATTTCTGAAATATTTAAATATAATGTCATATTATTTACACACAAAAAAAAAAATGTTCCAGCCACAGTCACAACTTAGTACAATGGCAAATAGTCCAAGAATAATCTAAAGAGTCTAATTTGTGTAAGCTTTGAGAGGCTTAATATTTGAGCAATTCATATGAAGTAATAATTTGGTAACGAAAGTAAGTACCCACACACACAATGTCTAAGAAATAGAAGTAGGCTAGTATTTGTAGGTAAGAGTAAAAAATGCCACACCTTTTTGCCAAAAAAAAATTAGTATTATCCCTAAAACATAAAGCTCAGACCCACCTGTTCAAGAAGGAGCTTTTGAGCCCAAAGTCAGTATTGCCTTCTACAATTCTCTGTGAATCCTTAATGCTTGGTTCTATTATTGCCTGTATTTTTAGCAGAAATGCATTTTGTTACATGTTTATCTTTACTAGGCTAAGAAGCTCCTGAAGCCAGATATTATGCCTTATCATCTCTGTATCTTCAGATACAGTGAGCACTTGTTTGAAATAAATGAGATGAAAAACCATAGGTTGAAGCCATAGGCTGTTATAAAATACATTATAAGGGCTCTAACTGGTTTGGCTGAGTGAATAGAGCATCGGCCTGTGGACCGTAAGGATCCCAGGTTCGAGTCCTGTCAAGAGGACATGCCTAGGTTGTGGGCTTGATCCCCAGTAGGGGGCCTCCACGAGGCAGCCCATCAGTAATTTTTCTCTCATCATTGATGTTTCTTTCTCTCTCACCCTCTCCTTTTCACTCTGAAATCAATAAAAATATTTTTAATTTATTATTTAATATAGGAAAAAAATGAAGACATTTTGGAAAATATACTCTTAATACTCTAACGAATAAAGTATTAAAAATACTTTATTTAAGGTGAAAAAAGATACAAAAGCATATCTGTGGGCATAAAAGAAAGGACAGAATACAAAAAAGTGAATTCCATCACCCAACACTAACTAAGCATGGTATGACCTCATGTTTGAAAGCATGTCACATGTCCTAATTTGCCTTGAGTAATTTCAAGGTAAGCTTATAACTAACACTAACACTAAAAATTTTCCTAGGTTTAAGTAGTATATAAAAATCAGAAACTATAAAATCATATCTATTCCTTCCTATGCTAAATCTCTCTTCCTCTCTTACAAATCATTCATCTTTTCCACTGAGATAATGGACCAGGAATCACCATTCCTATTTCATTTTTTATCCTCTCTCTGTCACTTACTAAGCTTTATGTTGTTGGACAATGCCATGCCATCTCTCTGAGCCTCCATCTCCTTCCCCCATAAAATAAGAAGAGTCATTTTTTTTTTTTGCCTGTTTCCAAAACTATTGTAAGGCTCAGATCATTAGAAAAGCCATTCTCTTAACTCTAATATGAGAAAGTCCTCTAAAAATGGAATCTAATAAATTTAATTAGTCTTAGCCAGTTTGGCTCAGTAGATAGAGTATCAGGCTGTGGACCTGGGGTACTGGGTTCGATTCCAGTCAAGGGCACATACCTGGGTTGCAGGCTCCACCCTGGCCCGGGCCCTGGTCAAGGCACGTGCAGGAGGCAACCAAATGATGTATTTCTCTCACATCTATGTTTCTCTCTGTCTTTCCCTCTCTCTTATAATCAGTGGGAAAATATCCTCAGGTGAGGATTAACCCAAAAATAAATAAATAATAACTTTCATTGGATTATTATTAATTTGCTGTATTTGTGATGTAGTAATCAGTCTATTTTATTCTGAATCCCCCCACCCTCACCTCTCACACAACACATGATTGAATGTAAGATGCAAATGGCAGAAGTATATCTCTGGTCATGTTTATTAAATTATGACAACCATGGTTTAATCTTATCAATTATACAGAAATTTTAATTGACATTTTGGCTAGAAAATATTCAACGTCCCTGAATCTATCAATTTATATTTAAAGTAATATAATGTAAAATATATCCTGTTTTCTTATATTTTAACAAATATATTCTATACTGAATATATTTTATATTTTTTACAAAAGTTCAAACACCTTATGAGGTTTGCTTTGAAACTTTTTATTTATACACACATAAATTTTTATGGATTTAGATCAATTTTAGAAAAACAGCTTATAGTTCTAGAAATATTTCCAAACAATTATTTCCATAATGCTTTCTCCATAAAACTCCTTCAAAGGAGTGAGGTTTTTCCCCTATAAATGTCACTTTACCTTGATGTGGCAGTGTGTGTTTTATTTGAGAAGAGCTTTTTAAATATTTTCTAGACAGGATACTTTTGGTAGCTACTTGCTATCAAAGAAAAGGTCAACAGATTTGGAATCTTTCTCTTTTTGATAAAGATAATCCCATAACTGACACTCAAGTTCAAGAGTACTTTGTAGCACTTTTCCACAAGAAAAACAGCAAACCTTATATAGCAGATTTTAAAAACTACTTTCTATGTTATTGTAAACTACCATGCTATAAAGATTACACTATGTATGAATTTAATCCATCAATTCTTTTAACCACATGGGATATATAACCGTTCATGTTGAAATACACAGAAAGTAAAGATGCCTCTCTCTACCTCCTGCATTGTGAAATCCTTCCACCTTTCCCTTAACATAACTGCAGAAATATGAATGTCTAAAAAATGGACCAAGTGAAGACACCAGTGCCAACCCTTACCAAAAAAAACTGTATTTCTTACTTTATTCAAAAATAGCGCAGCTGTTGTCTTGCAACAATGGCATGGTTTAAACATATGTAACTAGCCAGGCTGGTATGGCTCAGTGGTTGAGCATCAATCCATAAACTAGAAGGTCATATCGATAGTTTGATACCCCCTCAGGTTACATGGCTGCAGTTGTGGGCTCAAGCCCTATTTTGTGGCATGCAGGAGGAAGCCAATCAACGAGTCTCTCTCATCATTGATGTTTCTAGCTCTCTCTCCCTATCCTTTCCTCTCTAGAAAAAAAAAAAAAAATATATATATATATATATATATATATATATATTAAGATGTGTAACTAGATATTTAATGCAATGTGCACACAGACACTGAAATGCTTTTTGGTGTTGATAGTGACAATGATAAGGATAGTAAACTGTTAGGTCATTAAAAGAAAAAATTTAGTTGCAAATGTACATCTTCCTTGGTCAAGCACAATTGAAGACAATATAGATGTGATGTACATAGTTCAGGTATGTTTTTTGTTGGTGTTATTTTATGTAAGAAAAAAAAATCAAAGTTCAATTTTGCCTTTTTGCCATTTGAAATGGCCCTGGACTTGACTTATCCTATCACTCACATGTTTTACGGGCACCACTTCAAAGGAAGTAAACGTAGTAGCTTTTCAGGTATGAGAAGGAGCCTCGTGGGAAACCATACT